TATATTTGGAATTTATGGTCTCAAATCCCAAATACAAACTATTATAAGCATCTTGTAACTCATCAAAAGTAAATGAATTAAATTCATTTGAGTTAGAAGATACCTCGAGCTCTTCAAGAGCCATTAGAGACACCACATTTGTTGGTTCTTCTTTCTTGTTTCCATGGATTTCATCGAGCTTATTCCAAAGCTCCTTGGCACTTGAACATGAAGAAACTCCTTCATAGATTTCAGGACCAAATGCACACAACACCATGTGCATGACCTTGGCATTAAGTTGAGCTTTCTTTCGTTCTTTGTCACTCCACTTCTTCTCCTTCTTCTTTGGAGAAGAGTAGCCGTTCTCGATTATATCCCATGCATCAAGATCATTGGATTGGATGAATACCTTCATTAATTTCTTCCAATGACGATAGTTGTCTCCATTGAAGTATGGAGGCTTGTCCGTTGGTGGGGAGTCTTCCATGTGGAACGAGCCGGAGGTGGAAGCCATATTTTCTGTTGTATTGGGAATTGATAGAGCTTCTTCGAGGACCGTATCAAGGTGGTTAAACCTTCTTAACGAGTTAGGCTCTGATGCCAATTTTTGGGATTTTGGAAGCTCGAATCGACAACCGGAACGATCTGCAAAGAGGGGTCAGAACGGTTTTGTGTTTAGGGAGTAATGAGATTGAAAGATAGAGAATTGCACAGCGATTTATAGTGGTTCGACTTTTTCAAACAAAGTCTACGTCCACTACCTTAGCTCCTCACCAAGGATTTTCCAACAAATTCACTAATTTGTTCTTTCTTTTAAGGACAAAGAGTAACCTTACAACTCCCTAGTTTTTCCGGGCTAAACTAGAACCTTTTCCCTAGATTTTACATAGGATAAACTATAACCTTTCCCCTTTACAAAAGGATAAAAGATGTAAACAAGAAAACATCTCTAAGGTAGGTGTTTACAAGATTGAGCTCATAAGAACAAAATATTTACAAGAGAAAGATGAAATAAGAATGAAAAACTCTTCTCTTGTGTTTGATTGCTTGGATATTTGTTCTCTTGCTTCTTCAAGTGTCCTTAGCTTGTATTTATAGCATTAAATGTGTTTGAAGTCGTATATAGTCGTTGGGGATGTTTTGGAGCCATTTGGAGATGAGAATCCATTAATAAAACAGCTTGGACGTGGGGGGAATCGATACCCTTCATGGGGAATCAGTTCACTAAGTGCAATCTATTTTTGACCGTTAGACAGGGGGAATCGGTACCCCTGGGGGGGTATCTGTTCCCCCTGGGGGGAATCGGTACCCCCTGGGGGGGAATCTGTACCACTGGGCAATCTGATTTTTCTTGGCTTTGAAACGGTTCGAAATACTTTGTAAAATTGTTTTAAAAATAGTTTAAGTATAAAACACAATTTTATACTTTAGTAAGGACTAAAATGAACTTTGAAAGATTTGGAGTAATATTTTGATATTCGAATAATTACATCGAATATACTTAGAAAATCTTTTGTAAAATCTTAAAATTCATTTAACTTAATTTGTTATATCGAAACATCAAAATGTTTTCAACAGAGTTTCAACATCAACAAGCATTGTGCAAATGCTGTCAAGGGACAATGTGTCATGCATAGCAGATATAACTGCTATGAATGGCTGATATTCCCTTGTAAGGCCTTTGAGTATGCTCGCAACATGCTTAGAGATTGACACTGGATTGCCACACGAGTTCAATGCATCAGTAACCTCTTTTACTTTTGTGAGGTAAGTTCGCATGCTATCTCCTCCTTTCTTGAGAGATTGGAGCTTTTAGTGCAAACTCATGATGGCAGTAGCAGAATGATTAGCGAAAAATTGCAAGACTTTGCTCCATACCTGGGCAGATGTTTCAGCACCAACAAGTTAAGGAAGCAAATGGGGACTGACAGTTGATAACAGCCAAGAAGCCAATGCACTGTCTTGAGCCAAGAAATCTTCACGTTTTTCATTCACAACTGCAACTCCTTCTTCACCAACAATCGTTTTTGGAGGCGACATCATTGTGCCATTCAGTATTCGCTCGAGACGATGGCTCCTTACAGTGAGTAACACATGTTGTTTCCAAAGAAGCAAATTCATTTCATCGAGAACCACATTCACCATTTTGTTGGTGAATTCTTTGGTGTTTCTTGAAGAGAACTCCATTGATGTGGTTGTAGAAGATAAACTTTGATCCATTGAGAAGAACGGACAACGAAAACGCACCCTAGGATGTAGTAGCAAATGATACCATATTGAAAGAGCTTAAAGCTCGTGTTTTAAGCATGGACAATAGGAAGTAGAATAAATGCTTTCTTTCTTATTCTCCAGTCATCACCTTTACATGCCTTATATAGTTGCCAAGATTACGAGTACATTAGCAAGAACTCTAACTGTCTATTCTAACAAAATTGCAAACTAACTAACATCCTAATAGACCCTAGTTGCTCTTGCGTTTAATAACAATCATGCACGTGTGTAAACGATCATCTAGTCATGCATCAGGCACGCACAAGTAACCCAGCCTGCAGCTTCAACATACTTCAACATTCAAAGATTAACTTTTATTAAATTGATAGTGTGACTCATTTACAAAAAAAAAGATTAATTTTAAATTTAATCCCTAAATTTTAGATAAAATATTAACTTAATATATATAATATTTTAATTATATATTAAGAACACTAATCATCATCTTTGATTCTCTAACTTTTGTTTCTCTGGTCGAAAATAAAATTATTGATTTTTTATAAATAAAATAATTCGGCGAGTTTATTAATTACACCATATCATAAATACATTCTTTATGATGTTCAAGTAATTATATAAAATTTTAAAATCCATTGACTGACATTAATGGTAAAATGGAATGTAAAATTAAGTAGGTAAAAAAGATGACTGAAGAGATAACAGTGGTGAAACTAAAGATGATGATTACGATTTTTTTAAATTATAATTAAAATATTAAAAAAAAGTATTAAATTTATATATTGTCTAAAATCCATAGCTCAAATTATAAATTAATCCTTTTTAATAGTGGGTCACATGATCACTTTATCATAATCGACAATATAAGTGATAAAAGTGTAATTTGCTAAAGCCGAGTGATCAAAATAAGAAATATTAAAATATATGTGGCCACCAATGTAGTTTACCCAATATAATATTATACGGACTTTCATCAACGGCGTACTTGCTCTGCCACGCGTTAAATTGGTTAATTTTATGGTTGTATTATTTCACCTTGGGCTAATACTTAATACTTACTAATACTTCAAAATCGAGGCAATATTATGTTATTATTACACAGACAAATTATTAATGATAATAAATCATTAACTAACACTTTGTTTGATTTAACGGTAATGGAAGTAAAAAAAATTGAAAGTAAAACAAGTTTAAGAAACGAAAAGAAAATAAAAGTTATATATCATCCTATTTGGATGGTTAGAATTTTAAAAATAATTTATTTATATAATATAAGAATTAAAAACTTTTAGATTAAATTAGAAAAATATTGATATTAAAAAATAAAAATAAGAAAATAAAAATCATATGAAATTATTTAAAAAATATGATAAATTTAATAGTGACTGGTTGAATAAGGATAACCGTGATAAAATATTCATCGAACTGTTGATGATATTTTTTTTTTAAAATTATGAAATCAAATTATAAAAAGAAAATAATAATTTGCAGAAATCAATTTGATCCCAATATTTTTGAAATTAGTGTTTTGCTTGAAGAAATTGGTTTTGCAGTTAAAAAAAGTTGGGTCCAACGAACTTTTGAAATTTCGGTGCGGTTTGGTTTCGTTGCTCCGTCTTCGGTGATACTTTTTGTACAACCGTAAATTATCTTGCTAATATTTATTTTTGTGAATACGGAGTAACTCTTCTCCATATTTCTGTTCACTCATGCCATGTTGGACCTATGCCAAACTTGGCCATTAGTAGCACGAGAAGAAACGCCATCCGTACTTGATTAAAAATTTAAAATTAAATCAATTTTTTTTTTCTCGTGAATAATCAATTTCGATGAAGAAAAGAAAAACAATATTTATTATTATCTTAAAACAATTCTGAATTTCCCACCCATTTAAAATAAATAGATAAAAGTTTTAGTTACAAAATCCAAAATGTGATGGTCCCCACGTTCTTCCCGTGTCAAGTATCGGAACCCAACAAACCAACACAGCCCAAAAATAAATAGGCATAATACCAAAATTAACCCTAATGTTTATCAAAATAGTCATTTTATCCCTTACTTTTTATTTTTTAAGTATTTTGACTCTAAGATTTCATTTTAGGACAAAAAAACTCTCTCTATAGATGAAAATCATTAATTAACATATGATTAACGCTCTAAAATAAGATCATTTTTAACCCAAAATGAAACGTTTGGAGTTAAAATGTCCTAGAAAAATATAAAATGATTATTCTGTCAAATGTCAAGAGTATTTTTACTTAAAATTAAATATTTGGGGCCAGGATATTTCAAAAAAATAGAATTAAAAATAAAATAATTATTTTAATAGCTAATTTTGACATGCCAAATAAATATATCCCTATCATGTAGTTTCATCCATTTAGTTAACCTCTTCCCAATTAATTTCCTTTGGAAATGGAAGGTTAATCTCGTCTTTTCCACTAACAAAAGGATTTCCTGGTAAAGGGAATGGCTTGCAGTGTTGGCAATGTTCTCCGCTTCTTCTTCACTTTCTGTTTCAGCAGTTAGTTAAGCTGCTCCAATCTCTTCACCAACTCTTTCCCCCTCTTTGGCAAATACCAAAATATATTACTTTTCCTTATCAAAAAAAAAATATATATATATATATATTACTTTAAATATTTATTTATTAAATTTTTTTTATTTATTTTCCTTCTTTTATTTACTTCATTCAAAGTAGTTGTATTATCATTTATGTATTTGCTGCTGCTGCTGTGTGCACACCTCTTCTTCTCTTTCCTTTCTTTCCTTTTTCTCTGTTTGGATTTTTGAGAGGAAAAACTTAAATGCCTTTGGTTAGAGCTCAAGTTTGGAATGAGTACGGGCTTGGTATGCCGGAGCTTTACAAGGAAGCTAATAGAGAAGATCCAAAAGCTGTTCTCGACGGCGTCGCCGTCGCCGGCCTCGTTGGTATATTGCGCCAGTTAGGCGATCTTGCTGAGTACGTATATGCTTTTTGATTAATGAACCTTAAGCTTTTTGATTATAGGATTTTCTTCTTTGGTTACTTACGTTTTTTGTTCTTATTTGCTTTTAAAATGTTATTTAAACTGCGATATTTTACTGGTGTAGCTTGGTTGTTATGATGTAGATTTGCAGCAGAGGTTTTTCATGGATTACAAGAACAAGTAATGAGCACAGCTTCTAGGAGTCAGAAGTTGACAATTCGTGTCAAGCGGATTGAAGCTGCATTTCCGCCTCTTGAGAAGGCAGTGCTTGCCCAAACAAGTCATATTCACTTTGCTTACACAGCTGGTACTGTCGCTGTACATGTCTTTTTCTTGAAAACCCGCTAATTTTTCTTGGTAGATATTGATTCTTTTACCCTGTTTTTGCGGATACCGAGGTATATGAATTCAGTACATATTACTTTATATCTTTGTTACAGACTTAAAATCACGCTGTATGGTCTTATGCTTTCTTCTGGCATTTGTTGCCAAAATTTGGGTTGAGTGCCAGCTAGACATAGACCATAAGCTCACTGATATTCATGCATTACTGGAAGAAGGACATCTTATTTTCTTTGAAGTTCAAATATTCAGTAAAAGCTTAATTTCAAGAAGAATCAAAAACCTTGTTTTTAGTTAATCACGTGGCATTGGTCATTTGGTTGTCAGTTGCTTCTGACAATTGAAGCAGTGTTCTTGCAGATGACTCTATTGAAAGGAAGTAGATCTATGGCAATGGAAGCATGTTAGATACAAACCATGCTTTAGTTGTTAATCCTGGGAAATTTTACATAATTACATTGACTATAGACTAAATGGATTAGAAACGTTTTTAAATGATTTCATTCTTATATATATATACTGCATGTATTATTAATACTATTTTCTTCAAGGTCATTGCATAACAATACACCTGTATGTTTAAGAATCAAGATATAAGGAAAACAGTGATGTTGCTTTTTACGACAGAAACTAGGTTCAAGTTTATTTTTATATTGCAAGTTTGAATTTTTTGTGTTAGCTATCGGGAATTTTTCATCTTTCTGTTCAAATCGTAATGAGAAGCAGTTGCCCTACAGGTTCTGAATGGCACCCTCAGATTCGCAATGAGAAAAATCTTTTCATCTACAATGACTTGCCACGATTTGTTATGGATTCCTATGAAGTTTGTCGCGATCCTCCGCGCCTCCATTTGCTTGACAAGTATGGCTATATACATCCGCTTCTTATTTTTAGCAATGACAATCATGTTCAGGAAATGTATTTGTGATGTGCATATGTTTTGGATTTTTACTTTTGCTTTACGATCAGATTTTGTGCTGGTGGCCGAGGATCTTGTTTAAAGAGATATTCTGATCCGACCTTCTTTAAGAGAGCATCAGGTAGCCCCATTGAAGAAGATGCTGAAAAAGTCCCAATAGATAACAGGACTCGTAAGAGCAAGGTATCATATCATTTACTCTTAACCATCCAGGCAGAGAATCTTGACAGTTTTGAGTCAATAGTTATTAAATAGTCTAATCTTTAGTGGAATAAAATTCTTCACTCCACAAATACTTACTATGAATGTCTCTGGGACTCCTATGATGTGGAGGACACTTTGTATAAGTACAACCTTTCAGGATCATGTTGCAACTGAATAAGCTATTGTCCTTTAATTTGAAATAATTTCTGAATTAAGTTTTTCAAAAATGTACAGAAAAAAAGATCGTCCCTCAGGAATGACAAACTATCACAAGGTGCATCATTTTCAAGTCACAGTGGCAGGTAATATATGTGTATGTATATGCATATAAAATGCATGTATGCACTCACTTTCATGCAGACAAGCATATGCACATATAAACTCAAACATATAGACATTTCGGTATCATTTATTGTGTTGGATACAGTTTGATTTAATTTAACATTACGAATCTGACTTCGCAGAATGCACGGGCGGACTTCCTCTCAAAATGCATCTACAGTTGACATGACACTGAAATCTGATGTGGGAGAGCATTCAGGTTCTTGTGCTTTCAATCTTGGTTCATCCCTGCTCCCTGAGGAACTGGAGCCCAAGGAACTGCCCTCTAGGTTGATGCAAGAAACAGACACTCCTGGTTCCAATTTTCCTGTCGAACAAACTCAGGATCTAGATGATAGTTTTTCATGTAGTTCATCACAAGAGAAGATCGCCCCTGGTGTATCTTGTGTATCATGGGATGAAAAGGAAGAAATAGTGGAGTCCAAAGCAGGAAATTGGGATATCGATGAAGTTCCAAAGATGAACTTTGATGTAGATGTGCAGGAAATTGGAGCTGCAAATCTTGAAAAAGGTGATGAAATGGACATGCCTTTCAATATGGTGGATGCTCCTCAATCAAGCACTATTGAGAGCCAAAATGATGAAATTGAAAGTGAACCAGACAAGTACATGGATGCACTGAACACAATAGAGTCGGAGTCTGAAAATGATATTGAGTGCCATAGAAAACAGGAAGTGGAACATTGTTCTGAAAAAGATGTTGAGTGCCAAACAAAATGGGAAGCGGAGCGAACTGAAGATGCTGACATTGTTAGTAATGAGAATAGAGAAGATGAAATTAAGTTGGTTATGGATGGTAATGCAGACCATAATCCATCTGTTATTGAATTGCCTGCCTCATCTGCTATTATTTCAAACAATGGGAACTCCGAGTGTTTTCCCGATTCAGTACCCTCTGAGAAATTTTCCCCTGAACAGATACCTCACATCTCAGGCAAGTCTTCTGATCCCGATCATTCATCAAGTGATGATTTAGGCATGAGTGATGAAATCCACAATGGCTCACAAGCAGACTCTGTCATCAGTGATCCTTCCCCCTCCTCTGGTTCTACAATTTCTGATATGCATAATCCAGCCAGTAATAAGATCATAACCAGTGTTAACGACTCTCAAAACTCCCAGACTGAATTTTCTGTAGTGCATCCAGTTGGGTTCTGGACAAATGGTGGCCTTCTGGGACTTCAGCCATCAAAACCTCCTGATTTTTGTGTTTCAACTGGAGGTCAAGGTTCTGCATCTAAAACTAGTGAGGCATTTGGTCCTCCAAATCAAATTCTGATTCCTTCTCATGAGGGACCCAAAGGAAATTCAGGTACAGTGGTTGAGAATGCAGAATTTAATGAGAAGGTTCCAGGTTTATGTAGTGAGAAAACATCCCTTATGATAGCTGATTTTGATGCCAACCTTGAAAAACCTGTTAGTTCTCATTGTAATGATAGTCTTGATAATTTGAATGGTGTTGGCTTGAGCGTAAACACTTCATTGCCACATGGAAACAAGCTCCCAGTCAATTCTAATATCAAGTCTACATCTATTGAATCTGATGAGGAGAATGATGACAACTCAACTAGGATGTTTGGACTTGGCCATCATTTACTTGTAAATGGTTTTAGCAGAAAGATGTCCATTGGCCATGATGATGAATCTGAACTAGCAACTTCTACAAAAACAGGGGTATTGGAGCCGAGGAATAGGCAGAGGGGCATATCATATCAGAAAATTCCTCGAACAACTATTAATGAGCAAATTGGGAATGGTTCTCCAGTAAATTCACTTACTTCTTCTCCACCACTGGAATATATGAAAATATCTTTCAACCCTATAGATGGATTTGAGACTTCTAAACTCAAATTGCAATTTCCTGATGGGAATCTTTATCGTGAAAACATTAGAGACATGTTTCCTTCATTTCAGTTGGTCCCAGTGCCTGCTATTCCAGCACATGATGTTGTTTCGGACTCTGATGATGAAACTTTCTGCAGATCATCCCCTTATATGTCTGATGATTGCCTTTGTCATTGCTCTGAGTCAAACTCTGAGCAGTGGGAATCTGGTGAAACACCTGAAGGCAAGGACCCTGAGCTATATGATGCATTAAGCAGATTGTCATCAATGGAGTCTGTTTCAAGCTGTTTACAAGTTGGGGAACCAGCTAATAGTGGCATCCTTGTTAATGAGGGAAATAAAACTATAGTTGCTGGGTCTGATGCAGAACCATCACTGTCTGTGTCACTTGATCTCCCAAGTTTTGATGTTATTAACCCTATACTAATTGATGAATCCAAAAACAATTCTGATCAAAAGAACATAATTATGCAAAATACAACAGAGCTCAAACCAGTGCCTCCACCTCCTCCTCCTGCACAGTGGGGGGTTTCAAAACCCTGCTTCAATGAGGCAGAAGAAAGACAACATGCTTTATCTCAGTCACTTAGACATGAGCTTGATCTGAAACTTTTGGGATCTTTTGTTTATCAAAAGCATGATCCCCCTCCATTTAATCAACAACAAAGGAATGATGAGGCAATTGCATTAAAGCCTGAGAAGAAGGTACTTTGATAATGTTGTCATTCTTTCTTTTTTTTAAAAAAGTAAATGTTGTGAAGTGGAAATGGTTGCTTATAAATCGTAAAAAAATGATGAATGTGGCAGGTGGGCCAAGAGAATTTGAGCGGGCAGAAAGAGGCAAACCAGCTCTGTGGTGGCCGGGGGATGGATGAAAAGGAAGATTTCTTGCATCAGATCAGAACTAAAGTGAGTAGTCATTTTTCTATTATTATGTTGCTAGCCATCATTCAAATGAATAATGGTCCTTAATTTTAATGTACCTCTACAAATGTGAATTTCACTGCTTGAAGAAACAATTTCTTTGATCAAAATCAGAAAAAGAAAGCAAAGCAGTAAATACCTATCTAAATACTAAAAAGCAAAAATATCATTGAGCCTTTCATAGCTTATTTTTCAGTACATTTCAAGTTTAACAACTATAATTTCACATGGACTTTTTTCCCCTCAAAAATAAGATTTTCCCACCTCTTTTCCTCCTCTTTGTCAGTGTGTGTAGTTTGAGCATTTATGTTCCTCTTTGATTATGAATATTTTGATTCTGCTATGAGATCATCATGTTGTAGAATGTGGACCTTGTTTCATTTCTTTCAATTATTAATTACCCAAATTTAAATGCGTTGTCTCATGTGTTCTGTAGAGTTGGTGGCTTTTGTGATAAAATGATGGGAGTATAATTCATTCACTTGTTTTTTTCTTCTTCTTCTTTTCAGTCGTTCAACCTAAGGCCCACAGTCACTGCAAGACCCAATGTTATTTCTGGTCACACTACAAATGTCAAAGTCACCGCAATTTTGCAGAAAGCAAATGCAATCCGCCAGGTTTCCAATTGTTTTTTTTTTTACATTTTCCTCATCTTTCTTTATTCCCCGCTTCGTTCTCTTATGAATGACAACCAGATTAACACTTCTGAAACTTGTTCAGGCTGTCGGGAGTGACGATGATGATAATTGGAGTGACAATTAATTATTTTGGAATATGGATGCAAAAGATAATCCCAAGTTCTCCCAGTCTCAGGTTTTCAAATTTGGGTGAGGCTGTTTGAAACGTGTGTGTATAGTCCTTGTTTCTTCTTGTAATTAGCTACTGGAGCTGGAGCTCATCTTGTTCGTATTGGTGATTACTCATCCGTTTCTCGGTTAGTTAATCATTTGAACAGGTATTTAGTTGAATCATGATGTAAAGTAATTTTCAGCATTTAGGCAATGAGTCGTGCATATTACATGATAATATACACACACGTTCATCCATGTTTCTAAGAAAGCATTTCAATTTGTCCGTTAAATAGATGGAAAAGGTGGAGTCTTGGGTCTTCATTAGAACAAGGATGTTGCCAATTTATGCAAGCAAAGAATGATTGCAATTGTTTGCCTGTGTGTCTGTCTTGCTTAAAAGGCAATTGTCAGCGGCAGCACAAACGGGGGGAACAGTGCCGCGTGATTGCTTGCAGAGTAGCCACTGATTTGTTTTGGAATCACTAAGTAGTTTCCTTATGTTTTGCATTCGAATCTTCAATTTAATACGGTTTTTAATGTGTTTGAAGACAAAGGCAAATGATTCGAATATTGGGTTTTCTGATTTTTTTGGTGGCATATGGCAGTATATGCTTTGATTTAGTCAATTTAATTTGTTTTCTTTCTTTTCTTTTTTCTGCCAAGAATCAAGGGATAAGAACCTTCCATCAGATAAATTGACAATTAATAATAATAATAAAAAAAAACTCAGAACAGTTGACAAAAATTGATGCCAGCCAGTCATCCTATATTCCTATGTTTAAGTTTAGATTAATTATAGACGGAATAGGTTTCAAAACTCCCATAAACCCATGAGATTTCTCGGTGAATTACCTAAGTACCCACGTTTCATTTGCAACTTGCAAGCAGCCGCAGCCGCAGCAGCAGCATAGAAAATTAATTGAATCAAACTTACCCCTGGGATTCAAAGATAAAAAATGACAGTCCGCACCAAAAAGTAATTTTTTTTTTTTTTTTGCAAAGATATGGTTTGTACCTTCCTCTTTTAGATCCCGAAAGGCCCTCCTTATTTGTTTTGGATTGTTTTTCTCGCTGATTTTTAGCAAAGGGAGTGTAATTGCATACGTATGGAGATTAAGATGAACTTAACAGTTGCACGTTGTTAACTAACATATTGTCTAACTTTTATTTATTCAGAAATTTAAGGTTTCAATTTATACTATTAGATAGCAAACTAATTGATTTGGTTCATTTAGTCATTTTAAAGATGAACTGTCCAACAAATCTGAGATTTTTGTTATTCTTGGCATGTGGTCTTTTTAGTGCCCAAAACAAAATAACAACGTAATTGTATGACCAAGACTGAATCCAGCTGCAAATTTGAGAGAAGAAAGAAACTTATGAGCAAAGAGGCTAACAACATTAGTTTTTTTTCCCTGAAAGAAAAAGAATGGGTCGGACTGAAATTATATCTTAATTTTATTCATATCCAAATGCTAATCTATGATGACATTTTAATAATGCAAAAGAACGAAGAAAGTTGATTATTTTGATTAATAATTACGAATTTGTGATTAAGTTATAGATACTGTCGTAACCGGTTTTCGTCCGGGCACGAAATATTATACTTGGCGGGGAAATTGATGTGAATAAATGGTTTTGAAAATAATTTGGGAGTCGCCATCGGCCTTTTGGGTCAGGTAGGTCGAATACCTAAAAATTATTTTTTTAAAGAGTTTTAAGAAAACACCAATTAAAAAAATGAACTGATCTGCGTTTATAACCAAAAATTCGTTCTTTTTAATAATAAAAAGGGATTCGTGGTCGGTTACGTTTAGGGAAGGATTAGCACCCCTACAACGCCCAAAATTGGTACTTTTTAATTATAAATTGTCTCTATTATTAAAATTTTAAAAATTCAAAAATATATTTAATTTATAATTCTATTATTTCAAAATTATATAAAAAATATTTATTTATTTAAAAATATCAGAAAAGAACTTCTAGGTGCCTTAAGACATCTCTTTTATTTGATATTGATAAATATTAATTTAAATAATATTGTTTACTTTTTAATTTTAAAATATCAGAATGGGACATCCAGTTGTATTAAGACTGTCCTTTTCTTCGATATTAAAAATAAATATTTAAAAATTACTATTTATTATATATATATTTATGAATATATAAAAATATTTAACAATATAATAAAATAAAAATAAAAATACTACTAAAACAATATATTTAAAAACAATAAAATAAATGAAAACATATAAAATAACTGACTAAATTACAGTAAAAATAAAATCAAAAATCTAATTCATAATTAATCAAAATTATAAGGATTGAATATGTTATTTTCTTATTTAATAATTTAGTGACTACAATAAAATTATTTAAAATTCGGATATTATAATAAAATAAATTAAAAATATAAACTAGTGATTAAAAAATTATTTATTAAAATTAAGGGATTAAATCTGTTATTTAACCTAAATATATTATTTTAATAAAAAGGACTAAAATGAATAAAATTGAAATTCGAAGACTGAATTAAAAATATTATAAAATCGATTTAGTGACTAAAATGTAATGTTTACAAATTAGGAGGACGGCGGACGGGATTTAACTATTGTCTAATTACGCGCATAGTCCTTCCCGAAACGACGTCGTTCGGGAAGGACTATAAAAGGTCCAAACCGGCTGGCCCGAAGGGCCAGTCTTCATTTCTACTTCTCCTCTCTCTCTCTTCTTTGAGAGAAAAAAATTTTCTCTCGCTTCTCTCTAGAACAGAGAGAAGCCAGTCGGCCGGCAGCCGTCAGTCGGCGTTCGTCCGCCGTCAACCACCGCCGCCGGCCACCGTCTTCGGTGGCCGGAAAATTTTTTTTTACATCTAAACATAGATCGGACCGTCCTAATGACGGTTCCGATGCTCTTTTCCGTTAAACGGCTCCCAATCGGAGTAAATCTAAAAAGAATACCTTCGGTTTTTCGAAGGTTTTGATGAGATCCGGCGTTTGGCTTCCTCGGTAAGTCTTTCTCTTCCTTTTTCTTTCTTTTCTGTTTCTTTGCTACTGATTGTTGAGATCGTTGGTAGTTTTTAGTATCTAGTTTCTTTGTATCTCTCTCGGTTTCCTGTGTAGTCTCTGTCTCTCTTTTTTTTTTTCAGGTTCGGGTGGTGGCTTTTATAGCCACCACCGGTGTGGCCATCGGACCGGTCCGAAGAGGGGGTCTCGGTGAGTCACCGGACTGCCAGTGGTGACTCACCCCGTAGCTATGGCGTGGACGGCTGGTGTTCTAGCTTCTGGAGTCTTCGGTTGGGACGTGGCAGCGGCGGAGGCGGCGAGATAGCAGCGGCGGCCGCGTGTCCCTAGGGTATCAGACCCTAGGGTTTCCATCTGGAGCCATCTGGACCGTTGGATCTTGCCAGATCCAACGGCAGCAAGCTGAGGCGGCTGGTTAGATTAGGGTTAGGAAACCCTAACTGAAACCCCTAAATGTTTAGGGTTTCTGGTTTGATCTGGACCGGTTCTGGTTTGTTTGTAACTGGGCCGGTCCAGTTGTAATTGGTCTGTAATTATTATTTATATATGTATTTAATATATTTAATAATAATAATAATAATGATAATAATAATAATATAATAATAATAATAATAATAATAATAATGATAATAATAATAATAATGATGTGGGTAAAAAAATTAGTATCTTCAGCTGCCCCTCTTTGCTCATTCTTGTGTTAACAAGAATAGGGCAAAGATGAAAAGATAATAAATTTTTTTATCCATTTGGCTTCACTTGATCATAATGGAGATATTGAATAAATTCTTCTCTTTCTTCAGATGAGTTCTTCTCATTATGAACTTTCTGCTGGGGATGATACTGACCTCTTTCTTTCTGTGATAGAGACATTCAAAAGGTTGAATAATCTCTTGATGAGTTCTTCTCATTTTGAACTTTCTCTAGAAAGGCTGATGCTAATCTATCTCCTTCTGCGATAGAATTATGCAAAAAGTTGAACAAGTTCTTCTTATTATGAACTTATTCTTTCTTCTTCAGATGAGTTCTTCTCATTATGAACTTTCTCCGGAAAAGATAATCCATCAATTGATGAATTCAGGTAAAAGGTTGAACAAATTCTTCTAATTATGAACTTCTTCTTCCTTCTTCAGATGAGTTCTTCTCATTATGAACTTTCTCTGGAAAAGATGATCCCTCAAATGATGGATTCAGGTAAAAGGTTGAACAAATTCTTCTCATTATGAACTTCTTCTTCCTTCTTCAGATGAGTTCTTCTCATTATGAACTTTCTCTGGAAAAGCTGATCCCTCAAATGATGGATTCAGGTAAAAGGTTGAACAAATTCTTCTCATTATGAACTTCTTCTTCCTTCTTCAGATGAGTTCTTCTCATTATGAACTTTCTCTGGAAAAGATGATCCCTCAAATGATGGATTCAGATAAAAGGTTGAACAAATTCTTCTCATTATGAACTTCTTCTTCCTTCTTCAGATGAGTTCTTCTCATTATGAACTTTCTCTGGAAAAGCTAATCTTTCAAATGATAGATTTGAATCTTTGCTAAAATCTTTGAAATTCCTGTTAAAAATTCAACAAGAATAAAAATGAATGAAAATGCACCTATTTTTGTAAACACCTAAAATATGATGCATGAATGTTAAGTTATTTGATTTCAGATTGGTGAATTGAATATTTCTTCAATTGTAAAAACCCAATAGATCTTTCTTCTTCAAAACAAAGAATCTATCATCTTTGACAAATATAGATGTAGATATAATGTCACAAAACCTCTTGAGAATAAAACTCAATAGTATAGGCTCTTGAAAAGCTTGCATTCAGGCAACATGTTGATTCTGATAACAATTCATCTGATTATGAAGTGACCTTTCAAGATGATTTCACAGATATCGATAGTTCTTCTAATACCGAGAAATCTTGAATTCTGATTCTGATGAGGAGAATAAACTGTTATACTTGACAAAAATGGGATTCTCATGGGCTGAAACTTCAATAGCCCTGGAGAAATGTGGTCCAGATTCATCAATTGCAGAATTGGCAAATTTTATATGTGCTGCTCAAATGACTAAGGCTGCTGATGCACTTCTTCTGGTAAA